GGGATGCGGATAGAAAATCTGAGGAATTACCTGACCATGGTGTGATACGGTCATCGAAAACTTCTGAGGGTGACACTACCTTCATAACGAGGCAAGAGATCATCGTAGCGTAGAAGAAGGATCCGGTCTTGAAAACTGTACGAAAATGGATTAACGAAGGACTGAGGCCGGAATGGCAAGAGATCTCTAAGTACGGCCAGCAGGAAAAGGGTTACTAGCTCCAGTGGGACTCTGTGCATTCGATATGTTCTACTTTCACGAAAATGGGAAAGCCCGGATAGAAGAACCCACAAATTCATTAGTACTACTCAATAGTAAGATTTTCAATTGAGATTTCCGAATTTCACCTCATAAACTAAACAAATCTCATCTATTGTTTCTTCTTCATCTCAACTAACGTTGAATACTGTATCACCAAAGAAGAATGATTAATGAATATAACCGCAAAATATGTATATCTTGAATAAAATAAATAAATCATCTATTGGAACATGTTTTCTCTTAGTTAATTAAAAAAATAAATTAATAATATATATTTTCATAGAATACATGAAGACGCTCATCATAGGAATCACACGTTGAGAGGTAAGACCTCGTTAGACCTTAGCTCGCACAAGTTTCGACTTTTGAGAGTTGTCGTCTACTTTTCAATCTCAAGACTCCTTCAGCATCTGAAATTGGCGAAAGTTTACATATTCTGCGAGATGAATCAATCATTTTTCCGTTCTGTAGTGAATTGATTTCTTCAGGAAACCTTCGATTTAAACATTTCAGCCTGGTTGTTTCTGCGGTATTCATCTCCAAATGATGAAGTTCTGCTTTGTTCGATGATTTATAGACAAATCTCAACCGCCAAGCTATTGCTTGAAGTGATTTCAATCATGATGAACATCTTCCAACATCTAGTAAAGCCTGTTTTAGATCTGCATTGATTTGCTGATGTATCTAGAGCAGCCATTCCCAAACATTTTAGCTGGGGACCCACCTTTATTGTGGAATGTTTTTTGCCACTCATATATTGAATAATGTTGAGTATAATTATTATTACTAATAATATTTTTATTAACATTGAAGTGAAAATCCATTATTGAGGAATACAGCTCTGAAAGAAAATGGTGAAGATGATATAGTTGAAGATATTATATAGTACAAAAAAATGCTTTCATTTCAGAGTCTTAAAACTGAACAAATACAAAAAATTTAAAAATGAGACTTATGTGATTAGTGTGACTTGTGGAGTTGGTGCTTACGATTTACAAGAGATTCCATATCTGGGTTGAAAGTTGAAAGCTTCAAATGGTCATATCCCACGGGAGCAGTGAAGCGGAAAATGGAAAGCGGGGATAAGTGAAAGTACTCGAACAACCTATAAATAGTCATCTCTCGAAGAAATCAGTCCAGTTATCACCCGAAGACGATTGTAGATACTAACAATCGAAACGTCGTGAAGTAACGTGACTTGAAATCTCTCAACTTTTTTTTTTTCATTCCTTCATTTTTATTTATTTTTGTTCAATTGTTCTATTTTACTTGTATTTTATTTCAACTATTATTTCATCTCAGGTTTATTTTGCTTGATATAATTGTTATTTTCAGCTATTCATTTTTAATTCTTTTTTTAGCTGTTTCAGGGATTTCAAATCATTTTATATAGTAGACAATGAAAGTCCGAACTAGTGAAATTCGTGGAGAGTACCCTATCACACAAATGTTTGGTTGAAAACCACATCAGCTCTGTTCGAAAGAACTGGATACTCTTCGTTAGCCTTTATCCAAAATGGGAAAAACTATTCAAAAGTAATAAGAGTTTTTAATCTATTTCCGCGACCCACCCGAATTGCTCCCGCGACCCACTAGTGAGTCGTGACCCATAATTTGGGAACCACTGATCTAGAGACTTTTGGTCATTTTGGGTTGACCATCTGTCTTCTCCATATTCAAGAAACTGAGGACCACTTAGCCATTTGCTACCTTTTTTCCATAAGTATATGCAAGCATATTCCTTCTTGTGGCATTATCAGCGATATTTTTTTTGTAGGGGGCCAATTGAAATGTACAACGTCTATGCGCTACAAATGGCCTGGAAATTATAGTATTGGCCTTGATCCGGCCAATGACTGCCAATGATATTGTAATTTTCTCCGATGTAAACTGCCAGTCTACTTTCCAGAACCGCAGTCTGAAATTCAAGCCTGGAAGACATCATTTGTCGGATGGGGGTACTCTAGACTTTAACATACCGCAACTTGTTTGAATAAATTGATGGATGTAGCCATTACTACGTGGTAGGAAATCATAATGAAAAGAGAAATGAAGCTTTCTAAGTTTTTTACCACAATTTTTTTTAACTAACGTTACTGCAGTTTCGTCCTTTACGGACATTTTCAAACTTATACAATGAACTAACAATTATTCATTACTCGTTTGTTTGAAGGTGATTGACAATTTTTCGTGATGAATTTCACTAGTTCGGACTTCCATTGTCTATTATGTAAAATGATTTGAAATCCCTGAAACAAGTAAAAAAGAATAATTAAAAAAGAATAGTTGAAAATAACAATTATATTAAGCAACAATAAACCTGAAATGAAATGATAGTGAAATAACCTACAAGTAGAAATATAATAATTGAATAAATAAAAATTAAAGGAATGAAAAAAGAAAGTAATAAAAAAATTAAAAAATGTAGAGATTCCAAGTCACGTTAGTTCACGACGTTTTGATTGTTGGTATCTACAATCGTCTTCGGGTGATGATTTTAATTTTTTTATTATTTTCTTTTTTCATTCCTTTAATTTTCATTTATTCAATTATTATATTTCTACTTGTAGGTTATTTCACTATCATTTCATTTCAGGTTTATTGTTGCTTAATATAATTGTTATTTTCAACTATTCTTTTTTAATTATTCTTTTTTACTTGTTTCAGGGATTTCAAATCATTTCACATAGTAGACAATGGAAGTCCGAACTAGTGAAATTATTCATTACATTAGCCATTATATACCACCCCTTTAGGTACTAATAGAGGTACTTGGCTTGATTGAGTACCTGAATTTACAGTTCACAATGGGGATCTGCCACTTCAAAAATTGGCAAGTCCGACCATTGTATTGTTCCCAATGACAGTTACCTTTTTTCCATTCGATCGTCTTCGTATCTGTTATGGTTTAAAATATAGCAATGTTACCATATGATGAAAGAAACGGTCTGTATTGTCTCCAACCCTCTTTCTATTGTATGTCAACGACTTATTGAAAAAAAAACAAGAATACTTGCTTTGCTGACAAGAGCACACTTCTTTCGTCATTCCAGGACATCGGTGGCGGATACACATCTTCACAGGCAAATTACATATCCCAATGAGGATCTATAAGTGATTTAGAAATGGGGTGAAAATGACCAGGTTCAAGTCAATCCCACAAAAACCCAGGCATCGTTTTTCTCCAAGAAGATAAATGTCTCCGAACCGGATATAATAATGTCAAGTCAGACAATTCCAGTTTCTGCTTCAATAAGTTTGTTGGGTGTTGAAATGGATACCAATATGTCTTGGCACAATCATGTCGCTGAAATTGCAAAAGCCGCTTCTCAAAAACTTGAAACACTATTCCGACCCAGAAAACTGTACATACCTCTGAAACTTTTGATGCTTTATAAAGCCCAGATCAGACCCTAAGTATACCCTGAAGTTGCTGGTTTCCATCCAGAAAAAAGCCATCCGCCTTGATTGGAGACGTGAATATCACTTGCAACCTTGATAGTTAGAAACATCGAAAAGAAAAAAGGTTGAAGTTTCGTCTCTCATTTATAGATACTTTTACGTGAAGTGTTCAAGTGATTTGGCACATTTGATTCCACCAAGAGCGGTACATATCAGAAATACGCGACGGACTGCAGCTGGTCATCGTTTTGAGGTTCAACCCAGTACACCTCGAACTCCACTGTTCAAGGACTCTTTCATTTGGATAACTGCGTTTATGTGGAATAAACTTCCTCAGAACGTCTTTCCTGATGGATTTAATCTTCAGCGATTCAAATCCAATGTGAATCACTTTTTGCACAGGCACCGCTCTTAAAGCGCCTTAAAGATGTGCCTGTAGTGCTTGAGAAGTAAAAATGAGCCTTGAAAGAAGAGTGATGGCAATACAAGAATTTCCAAAACGAAAAAGTATGAATTTTCATTGTGTTAGGGTACCTACCTGTCGAATTAATTGGGTTGTCTGAATTATATTTTGGAAAAATGGAAACAATTCACTAAATAAGAAACGACAGAACCGTAATTTAAAATTGTTGTCACTGATGATGGTAGTTATTTCAAATGAAACGCTATAAAAATATCAAATGTTATATACCTTTGGATTGTGAATTTATTGCAATATCAATATCTGTAATAAAAAACACAGTTCCGTATGTAAACAAAAGTTGATGGTGGCCATATTGACACGGAACGTTTTATCGAATATTTATTATTACATCGTCATAGTACACTACAATATACAATAACATTTCCATTTTTTTCATTTTTTGATATTTGTCGAGAAGGGCGAGAGTCCCGTTAATTTTATTCAATTCAGCGATTCAAATCCAATGTAAATCACTACTTTCGCACAGATACCGCTCTTAGAGCGCCTTAAGAATGTTCCTGTAGTACTTGTGTTTCGTCCTTAAAAAAACTAACGAAAGCAACAATGACGACGAAACGATTACGACTCCTGTTGAACCGACATGTTTTTTTTTAAATAATGTATTTTGAGGTACCCTGTATACTCCACTGAATGCTCGTTATATTACCATCATGTTTGTGTTTTCTATCTGATTCTGACAAAATAACCGTCTTCACATGATTAATTCACATTCATTCCCAATCACCCCTGATATGAAACATACATAAACCAATTTTCAACGACCGATTTCAGTTCAAGAGAGGTTGATGTCAAATACAAACTTCATTTAATTATACGTACATAACTTGATATAAAAATATTAAAGAAAGCCATTATTGTGAATTACGTAATGTTGTGGGTTCCAAAAGTCGTGGCTGTAGATGTTCCGCTGGTGAGACTGGTGCAAAGAAAAAGGTTACTCCTACTTGAAGTAGGAGATGGAGCGCTAGAAGTATGCGAACGCTGTTGATGAGATGAGATGATTATATAGGAATGTCGATCGTTCTTTAGTTTCCATATTTCTTCAGCCAAAAGATTCTGAACCTGACTTCTAAAAGAAAGTTCCTCAGAGACGTAAGTTATCCTACATGAGGAAGTAGGGATTAAAATAAATTATATATTCATTATCTTCATTATTTTTTTTCTAATAACGCAACTTTTTCAGCTTCTAATTTTTAAAATTCTTCATCTCTAAGTTCCATACATTTCTTACTGGTGCCTTTCGCTTCCATTGTATTACAATAGGGTTGATTGGAGTTTCTTTTCCTGATATCACTTTTTCCAAGTCATCGTTTCGTTGTTGTCGAGAAACATGGGTGACTTGTTTTGTTGGTGGTTCAGAAGAAGCTGTACCAAGCAGTGAGAAGTTCGTCGTATTCAAGTTCTTTATCAGATTTTGTTTTTGAAGGTTTCGATGTTATTGCAATTTCAGTTTCACATTCCTGAGCCAACTGGGTAGCATGAGAAGTACTTTCGGAATACTCCATATCACCTTCTGTCACCTTAGGTGGTGATATAGATTTCAAAAACATCATTAATTCAAAATGTCACTAAGTGCCATTGTGCCGAAAGGCGTTTTCAGATCGGTGCTTCGATATTTTGTTCAGTTCTTTTTTGAACCTTTCTCGTAGATTCTCCCACTTATTTTTCACCACTTCCTCTGAAACAAAAGAAGAGTATTTTAGAAATTGCGATTGTTTTTATTTCAGGTATTTAGTAACAAGGATGCATTTTAGATAACTCCAATATTCCTTCAGGATATCTAAGACTTTAGTAACTGCAATCATAATCGAAGTGTGCAAAGCAATTTGAAAAATTTCCTGATTGGTTCGGCCGTTACTTGATGAAGATCCATAGTAATTTCAAAAACTACACCTCACGATTTGATCTCCACAAACTTTATTTGAAAAATATATCACATGTTTTGCTAATACATTAGCTTTTTCGATCACTTGAAAGGCATTAGCTTTTTCGATCACTTGAAAAAGCTAATGTCTTAGCGAAACATGTGATATATTTTTCAAATAAAGTTTGTAGAGATCAAATCGTGAGGTGTAGTTTTTGAAATCAATTTGAAAAACCTCAGTAAAGAAGCAAATGCCCCAGTCCACAACTGAAGACTTAGTGAAAATTGCTACCGATTTTTCGACACGGTTTCAATTTCTAAATTGCATTAGATGTTTGGATGGAAAGCATATAAGAATAAAACAGCCATAGAAATCTGGAACAATGTATTATTGTTACAAAATGTTTTTTCTATTGGTCTGCTAGCACTCACAGATGCGAACTATAAGTTCATAATGGTAAATGTTGGATCTTATGACAAAGACAGTGATGCAGAAGTATTTGAAAACTGTCTACGGAAAGCAATCGAGAGTGAGTCACTTGTACTTCCTGAAGAAACAATTTTGCCCGGTTCAACCATTACGGCACCCTACGTACTCCATTTTTTAGCATATTTGTATCTCATTGGCTGCAGATGAGTTCGAAATATTTTGATGCAGTTCACACCCAGCAGTGTAACTGATGGATGTAAACCATTAGAAATAGTTATCGAGCAAATAATCACGCTTCTTGAGTTCATTTCACAAATGTTATAATCATCATTTTCACCATTAGATGTGTAAACACCATATAACCAAAAAACTATAACCAAATTCACTACAAGACATCATGACAGTCATTGATTTATCTCAATAACCATATAAATAACCCAAATTCCCATTCTACAAATTATAGTCCTCTCATTCTCAGACTCTGTGGCGTTTTCAATAAATATGGGATTTATGTTAGCACAACACTCCCGAATGGTATTCTCTAAATGTTCTTTGTTGGCAAATAGTCTGCGCTTATACACTTTTCGTTTTAGATAACCCCATAATAAAAAGTCAATCGAAGATGGGTCCGCTGATCTTGGTGGCCAATAAGCTTTCCAATCTCTTCCTATCACTTTGTCCTTATACATCTGAATGAGCCACTATTTCACTTATACTGTTTGGTGGATCGGTCCAATACTTATATTGAATATTATTAAATTTGGATTATTGTTGGACCACCAGCGACAACTTTAGGAACGATGTGTTCGATGTGAAATTGCCTCGTCTGTCTATAAAATCTTGTAGGGGAATGCGACATCATTTTCTCTCTCACCTTGGAACCAAAATAAAAATCCTGCTCGAATATCGAAATCTTTTTTTTAAAAGTATGTATGAACTTTGGCTCATAGGGATAGAATTCATTTCTGTGCAAAATTCTCCTCACAGTTTCTCTGCCAACCCCTTCACTAATACTCCTATTATTAGTTTTTTCCATTTTTAACATCGCTCGAACAAACATTTATTGAGTTATGTGGTTATTCGAAACTATTGTCCACAGAGCCAATTTCTTTGAATATTTTCAATATCAATACTAAAGTGAATATTGCTTCCTGGATACCGGTGATTGAAAATACAAGCAACATCTCGATATGGCACATAAAAGATCGATTTCCACTTTGTCTAGTGTGGATAACATTGTAGATAAAACTTATTTGTGAATTATAAATGTACAAAAATCTGTATACAAAACAACTCGATTCATTAAACGCAATAATTTGACATTAACCAAAACTGAAAATTTCTTTCAAAAGCCTACTGAGGAAAAATTTTATTTCGATTCGATCAGTACCTAGTATTTTTTTCGACATGTTGCATTAGTCTTGTAATGTTCAAAATCACGAAATTTTATATCATGTTCAGTACAAATCGCTTGAACGAAAGTCTTTTGAATACTTATGGAACTGTAAGTCTATGTTTAGTTTACAGAAAAGTATAATATTTTGGGTTAGATTGTAACTGAATTATTGCTCAGAAAAATAGTGAAACCGAATAAAATCTATTAAAAAAAAATACGAGTGTAATAAGAATGGAGAGAAATGCGTTTATTCGATTACTGACATATGTCCATTGAAAATCCTAATGAGTTTAACAATAAAATGAAAAACCTAGATGAACTTTGCAACAAAAATAACAAATTTCTGGAGGTACATTTATTTCTTTTTGTGGTAACAGCCTGATTCGGGTATTTTCTGGGCATGGTATGACATTGAAGTCTCGTATTCATCAAAATTCCAAAGTGAGTGGGTCTTTTGAGTCAAATGGTAAGAGTACGGCTCTGCCAAACTCTAAAGACCTGATTCGGTCCCCAGCGGGGCAGGCACAAAGTATATGCTCTGTTAATGAGGTAGTCGGATAGTCAAGTTGCAAGAATCTCACCTTGATACCCACGACAAACTTTCCATATGAGGATTTTTGCACGTCAGCTATACCTGACGATGCCTTAGATTCAGCCGTGCAGGGCGTTTCCGCCTCTGGTTTTGGTGAATCACCACTTGAGCGCGTACGTTTGCTAGCCTGCTCATGGGGAGGGAGGTTTGTTTCCCCACCTGAGACAGATCAGTTGTTGGATCAAGAGTTGGGGAGTTGAGATGCTCTCAACTAAATTTATAGAGAGGTCCGTTGGAGTCGTAAACTCAACATCCATCTCCTCTGTAGACTCGCTCCTGAAATAAATTTACAGGGAGGTCTTTTGGAGCCGAAAACTCGACATCCATCTCCTCTGTAGACTCGCTACTGAATTAAGTTTACAGGGAGGTCAGTTGGAGTCCTAAACTCGACATCTATCTCCTCTGTAGACTCGCTACTGAACTAAATTCACAGGGAGGTCATTTGGAGTCATAAAATCGGCATCCATCTCCTCTGTAGACTCGCTCCTGAATTGAATTTACAGAGAGGTCAGTTGGAGTCGCAAACTCGACATCCATCTCCTCTGTAGACTCGCTCATGATCTAAGTTTACAGGGAGGTCAATTGGAGTCGTAAGCTCGACATCCATCTCCTCTATAGACTCAGCGTCAGAAAGAATTTTTAAGTTTACTCTGTCCATGAAAGTCCCACGAGTAGCTGGGGAAAGAAGGTCAATCACGGTAGAGCCCCGTATTACCGTGACAAGGCGATGCTACGACGAGAGGGCGCCCGGTATCTCGAAGGTTCCGTAGAGACAGCTGATAGGCTCAGTGTCATTCATCCTCTCGTCACGGATACACACACCTTGAGATCAAGCCATCGTTGGGATGCCATTCAGCCAGGGACTAACAGAACCACAAGGATTCTGTCATTATCGTATCCAGCGGGGCTACGTGGAAGCAGGCATCCGATGGCCGGTTTGCTCCACCCCCACATCCCAAGCCAATGCACTCGCCGAAGACAGCATGCACAGTGGTTCAGGCAGTAAAAGATGAACAAGGCCAGCCAACCCGCCACACTTTCAATAAGTGAATTTTCATCATTCAAATTGAAGAAGTTATAATTTCAGAAGAGATTAGTTTTTAACTAAAAAAATTTATTGCGATGTCTGCCATTGAGGATGAAAGTGTTCCATGTAAGTGAAATTTCATCTTCTCCATATACCTACTATATTGTGTAGCGTTCCTGTGAATAATATCTTCAATTCTAATAATATTCAATTCCATAACAAATGTTTGGAGTTGAAACTGAATAGAAACACATGATTTTTGTGTAACTAATGTTCATATAAAAGCCATTCAATTTCAGTATGAAAGTATTTTCTAGAAGGCTTTTTCTTTCAGTCTGTATCTGAAAGTAACTTCAATGCAGGATATTACAAATCTTGGAAAATATATCATTTTTAAATTTTCTTTTCTTGGTAGTTTTGACATTTTTTGAATGAAGTTGAGAAGTAGAAAGCCAAAACCTTCCTTTCTCATTAATTTTCGTTATACATTACTTTCGTGACTGAAAATGAAGAAGAAGAAGGATATATTTATTGAAATAGGTAATCCTGATACACAATATTATATAAAACATATAACAAAAATAATTATATAAAAAAACTTAAAAAAATGTAGATATAGTTCAAAATTGAAAATAAAAATTTTTAGTTTGGAAAATAACGACAAACGTATGGTATTGAAAATACATTGCAATATAGGTGCAGCTCCAATACAATGATAAAAATCAGAAAACAACATACAAATACTGTATTTATCAATATTACTTCACCAAGTATTATTCTATATAGCATTATGGATGGATTTCAATAACTGTTTTTTAAAAAACTTAATTATGGAGTAGATTTGATTTCATTTGGTAATTTAGTGTATGCATCAAACCCTTTGAAAAATAAAGAATTCAATGCATATTAGTATGATTTCTTGTGGGATATTTGTGCACTTCTGAATTTAAACTAACAAATTCAGAAAAATATGAAGGTGAAAAGTTATTCAGAATTTTATATATAAATTTCATAGTTGAGTAATACAACCGTACAGAAACTGGTAGCCATCGCGATTTCAGTGAATCTATTCACTTTTAGAACAATTCGCATACAGCGATTTTGAAGTTTTTGTAATTGAGATGTTTGATTTAGATTAAACAAGGAAATAATAGAAGCACAGTAATCAAAATGTGGTTGGATAATCGCATTGTACACAGAAATTTTAGACTGAGTGGATAAATTACCAGAAATTCTTGCAAAGGAATATAGTTTTTCAGATATTTCTTCACACATAAAGAGATGATTGCCAAAATGTAATGAATTATTCAACTGGAATCCAAGATATCTGATACATGACACAATTTCAATGTTTTCATAATCAATTTGT